GTTAGTCTCACATGATCCAAGTGCTGTATACTAGATGTCCTGACGGGAACATGGGAGGACAAAAGTAAAGATGTCAAGGCCCCCCCTACAATCAAATGGGAGATAGACTTAACACCTAAACTCTACTTTTCCTTTCTCCCTCTCTCTCCCAAGCCCTCACACTCCACCAGCCAGGACCTGTTCCTTCTCAATCTCATATTCTCTCCAGGCTAAGGACTGAAACTGTCTTGGAGACTGATCCCCTGGATCACTCCTCTAAAGTCCAGCCCAGGGACTGCGGCTACATCTGCCTAACACATCCCCCTGCCTGGGTTAGTGCCTCCCCAACCCCTGCAAACCCAAGCCCGTGGCCTTTGACGTCCAGCCTCCCTCCCCACTTCCCTCACAGTCTCCCAGATTTCCACATGTCACTTCACTTTTTTGTTCTTTTACTTTCCTGGCCACAAGAAAAATGAAATAATCTGCCTTAAAGTGTAGCTATGAGACCAAATAATTATGGAATCTGAAATGCTTTGAGCCTTGATATCAAAAGAGCCAATATTAATTCAGAATATCACAACTGTCCTGTTTTTGTGAATATTGCTTTTTTAAGACGCCTTCCTCCTAACACCACGGTTTATATCTGTCCTTTAAAACAAATATTTAATAGCCTAGGAATGCTAGCCAGGGTTCTGGTCAACAAGGGCTCAGCTCCGCAATCTGAAAGATGAGAGGAGATGAATTTTATCCACAAAGAAAAGTGAAACAGTCTCTAGTGTCATAAACTCCACATCCATCAAACTGGGCGGGGACTGGGAACAGAAAGTCTTTCCGGAAAGAAAAACAACCTACCCTTTGGGCTCTGGGGAACATTAAAAAACAAAACGCGCCAAATCAACCCAAACATAAACCAGTTCTCAAACTAGTTTGAGGAAAGTTCCACCCCAGCAAAGCAAGCCACCCCTCGGCACACGGAGAGGAGGGCCTCGCCTAGCCCGGTGTGGGCGACGCCCGCGCCCGGCTCAGAGCGAAACGGACACACGCCTGGACCACGGAAGCCACGGAAGCCACAGAAGCGCAGAAGAGGAGCCGGCCGCTGTGCTGGGGCTGACCCACACCGGCCTCGGGACACACAGGCAGCCCAGCTGGACCGTTTGCCACCCGTGTGCCCACCGCGGGCCACCACGGGCCCCTGAGGGTCTTCAGCCTCGGGTTCCGCACCTGTGAAATGGGGCTGGTGATCCTACCACCTGCGTTGTGGACCGAGGCCCGCACCTGGTGGCCTTCACCAGAGGACAGGAACGGCACGGTCAAGAGGCCCGGGAGGGCGGCCGCGGCGCCGGCGAGACCTCGGAGGACGGGGCCAGCTAGTGGGGAAAGGAAGCGGGAGCAAGCTTCCAAGGCTGTGGGGGCTCTAGGGCTGCTGCCTGGCCTCCCGCGGCCCCGTGTGGTTGGGGCCGGCCACTCGGCATCCAGTTCCGGCCGGTGGCCGAGGTTCCGCGCGCACCGCCACCGTCACGTGCGCGCCCACGTGCGCGCCACGCTCGCGCACGACACGGCGCGCCCTGGAGGCCCGGCCGCCCGGGGACGCGCAGGCGCAGCTTCTGGTTACTGAGCCCGTGCTCTGGTCGGAACTTTGTGCACGGTAAGTCACTTAAAGTCCTCACCTGGGGACGACTGCATTTTACAGATGAGGACACCGAGGCACAGAGGGAAAGGGCCACTTGCCAAGGGCACGTGGAATAGAAGGGGGTGGCGTCAAGACTTGAACTCGGAACAAACAGACCGTGGGCTCACTGTCTTCAGAACATGTGGCTCTTTCCCAACTGGAGATACTCCAGGGGCTATGTGTCGAGAGCACTACTGTCCCCGTCCACGTTTATTGTTCGCCACATTTGGCTTTGAGCACAGATCTGGGCGCGTGTGTGTGCTCGAGGATATCGGCCGCAGATTCACTCTCTGCAAACACTGGTCGAGCCCTAGCCCTAAATCTGGAGCTCTGTTAGGCCGTTTACACACATTATTATCCTCAGCCAGCCTCGTCATCAATGAAAACCCACGCCTTACACTTTGGGGGAGATGAGTTTTAATTAGGCATCATGAATAACTAATTAAAGATTCTCCTGGCAAGAGGGTGTTAGAGCCGAGCTGAGTGAACTTTGCCAGAGTGCGGCTGGGTCTCTGGCAAAGTCCATCCCCCGAGCAAGCCCCTCTTCTAGAGCCAGGATATGATGGGTGGGAAGGCAGCCGCCCTGGTGTGTTGACAGTGTCATCCCAGCCACGGTTACTACTTGACCTTTATTTCTTTTGATGGATTCCTCTAGGAGTTTGAGCTCATTAGTTCATTTGACTTCCAGCTGTCAAAAGAAATATTGAAGAGTTTGAAAGGATCCCCTCTGAACTCATTACTATTTTTTGGAGAACTCCTGACATTTAAAATGTTTTAAACATACTAGTATAGGTAGGTCCATTTTAATGGGAACCATTTGAAAGGTTAATATAAAGAGACAGAGCAGCCCCAGGCAAAACTGAGAACAGTAATGTACACAAGACTAACTCCTTTTCAGTATACAAATTGCTTCCAGAAACATTACCTCATTTGATCTTCACAGCAGGCTGGAGGATGTTATCACTAGTCTCAGTTTTCAGAGGTAGAAACTGAGGCTTGGAGGCCACCTGCCCAGCCCAAGGCCACACACTGGGTTAGGAAAGCAGGGTTCAAACCGAGGGCTTTCATTGCTACTGGCCTGTTTCTCCCCACATCTACCAGGGTTTTGCTCTCACTTGAGGAATCCATTGCCCTCACTTCTTTGTCTCTTCAGGTTCTGTGTCCTTGAGGCCCTCCACATTCCTCCCAGAGGACCATGGATGGAGCAGAAAGGAGGTTTGGCAAATGGGGATGCTTCAGACAGCTCAGTGACCCCAGTAGAGGGCCCTTGCGGAGCCTGGCCATGCCCAGCTGAGGACCCGCCCGTCTCCTCCTCCTCTTCCTCCTCCTTCTCCTCCTAAGATTTCTGTCCCCTCAGGTCCTGACCTGCAGAACCACATGCCTCTTGTGCCCACTCCTGGTGAGTTGATCTCTTAACCCAGTTAAAAAGGTATCTTCCCAAGAGTCCTCTGAATAGTGATCCTAGTGATGGGACTGACTCAGGGAAGAGAGGCTTTAGGCAAGTTGGCCTTGCTCCTTCCCAGGTCTTCCCATGTGAGTAGCTGCTTATTCTTCCAAAGGCCAGCCTGGCTGGACACTTTCAATTATTTTATTCATGTATGGCCTCCACTTCATGTAATTATTATTTATTGACCATCTAGTGTGTGCTACATACCCTATATATGTTGTAATATAATCTTTTTTTTTTTTGACAGCTGGCTGGTAAGGAGATCCGAACCCTTCACCTTGGTGTTGTCAGCCCCACGCTCTAACCAAGTGAGCTAACCAGCTAGCCTTGTAATTTAATCCTTATGACAACCCTAACAAAAGGGAAATTGGAGGTTCAGAGAGGTTGAGTAAGTTGCCCAGGTTCCACAGCCACTAGGTGCAGGGCCGTTTGGATTCATGTTTCTCCGACTCTAGAGCCCATAGCTTTTCCTCCATATTCCACTGCCTGATTTCAAAAAGGTTATTGGAGAAGACATAAAAAATCAAAACTACAAAGAGGAGGAGGAGCTAAATTTTGTTCAGGAGAGCTAATGTGTTTATTGTGAATGAACATTAAATCTGGGTCTAAGCTTCTTAGAAGCAAGAAAAGTAGTGTGTGGGGTGAGGGGACACAAAGGACTACATGCTTCTCTATAACATAGAGTCTATACGGTAGAAGGAAATAAAACTTTTTTCTTTATTTTCAATTCCAAAAGTAATTTCTTGTGTGGGATCTTATACAAGGACACTATGTAACAAAATAAACAAAAATGTGAACAACCAGGTATATCAGAAGACAAACAAACAATAGTCCTATGTACTATATCCATTCTGTAGTCATTCAACAAACAGTTAGCACCAACCATGCATTGCTGCCCCGGTTCAGAACACATGCAGAAAGATAATAACCCTGCAGTGTAATCAACCCCACAATGGAGGTGTGCCCAGAGTGCTCCAGATTCACACAGGAGGGGGATGACAACCCTGCCTGGGAGTGTCTGATGACCTCAGACAAGGTCACATTTGTCTGAAATCTTGAAGTTTGAGTTAGAATTTTCAAGTTATCTTCAAAAGGAGGAAAGGCATTCAAGAAAAAGGGAACAGAATGTGCAAAGGCATTAATGTAATGGCAGATGGAATGCTTGAGGACTGGGATGTCACTTATCAATGGGGACATGCAGGATTCCTATGTGTCAGCCAGCCTGAGGAGGACTCCACAGGCTCAGGTTCAGTAAGGAAGGAACAGAGGCCACTCAGAGATGGGAGGGTTTGGGAACAGGGAATCCCAAAGGCGGTGGTTGCGGAAGTGTGTGTGGGAGGGGATGGTGAGGCCCCTGACAGGGGCCACTCTGGGACTATTGCTGAGGAAGAACCGACAGACTGACATGGGGGAGAGACGAAAGGGGGACCTCTGTGTCAGCTCAGAGGATGGACCCTACTAACAAGAAGAGTGGACCCTAGGGGAGCTCAGCTGGAAGCCATGCCAATTTTCAGAGCCCACAGGACTCAAGGGCTGAGGTCTAACAGGAAGTTATTGTTATTGCTGCAGATTGACTATAATATCAGAACAAAAACCAGTAAAGGAGACACTGTGCAAGTCTCCACTAATGGGCCCAGGAGTCCTTTGGGGGGTAAAATGCCTCCTCTGAGGACAGAACTGAGATGCTAGGATGACGGATGAATAGGGAGCATGTACCATGGTCTGTCGTCCTTAAATGTCACTTTGCCTTTTTTTTTCTTCTTAAACCATGTATGTAGAAGATGATTTAAGCTCATGCTCCCTGATCATTTTGGGAGTGGAACCTTCTTGAAGCTTCCTTCACTGAATTTTCTACTCACTCTGACCTGGACTGTTGAAACAAATGTCCAGTTCAGATTGATTGTCCCAATTGCCCTTCAGATTCATTATTTCTCGAATATATACATGTGTATTAGTCCATTTTGTGTTGCTATAACAGAATACCTGAGACTGGGTAATTTATAAAGAATAGAGGTTTGTTTGGCTCATGATTCTGGGACAGCTGCATCTGGCGTGGGCCTCAGGCTGCTTCTACTCATGGCAGAAAGCGGCAGGAGCTCAGTGGGTACAAGCAGATCACATGGTGAGAGGAAGTGAGAGAGGGGACGTGCCAGGGTCTTTGAAACAACCAGCTCTCATGGGAACTAGTAGAGTGAGAACTCACTCACTACCCCTCCCTCAGGGAGAGCATTAATCCATTCATGCAGGATCTGCCCCCATGACTCAAATAGTTCCCAACACTGCCACAGTGGGGATCAGATTCCCACATGAGTTTCATGGGGGACAACACATCCAGACTCTGTCAGTATGTGCTTATCTATGGTGTCTTCCCATTGGCTTTGGGTGTCTTTCCCACAGTCTGTTGGGATTTATTGAATACTTACTATGCCTGGGCTCCATGCAAGGCACTTGGATAAGGAGATGGCTCTATTCTGGGTGGTGCTGCCCTTGAGGAGCTCACACCCTAGTAGGAGAGAATGGTAGATACACAGCCCCCATCAACCCCAGAGGCAGCAGAGCCATATTCCACAACTTACCTCTCCTACAACCCTGTGACGTGGACCTTGCCTGCCTGCTTGCGTGCTAGGTGCTTGATTTTTAAAAATTGAGATATAATTCATATACCATAAAAGTCATCCTTTTAAAGTGTACAGTTCAGTGGTTTTTAGTATATGCACAGGTTTTTCAATCATTATCACTATCTAATTTCAGGACATTCTCAAAAGAGAAACCCGATACTCATTAGCAACCACTCACTATACCCCATTTCCCCCAGCCTCTGGCAACCACTAATCTACTTTCTGTTTCAATGAATTTGCCTATTCTGGACCTTTCATATAAATGGAATCATACAATATGTGGTCTTTCATGACTGGCTTCTTTTAGCATAATGTTTTTAATGCTCATCTATATTGTAGTATGCATCAGTATTCATTCCTTTTTATGGTTGAATAATATTTCATTGTCTGACTTTTCCACATCTTGTTTATCTATTCATCCGTTGGGTTGAATGGATGGAATAACATTTGGGTTGTTCCTACCTTTTGGCTATTATGAATAACGCTGTTATAAATACTCATGTACAAGTTTCCGTGTGGACACATACTTTAATTCTGTTGGGTATATACCTAGGAGTGGAATTTCTGGGTCACGTGGTAATTGTATGTTTAGGTTTTTGAAGAACTGCCAAATTATTTTCCAAAGCAGCTACACCATTTTACATTTCCATCAGCAGTGTATAAGGATTTGATTTCTCCATGTCTT